ATATATATATATATATATATATATATATATATATATAATTTTTAAATGCCTCAATAACTAAACACAATAATAGATAGAATTTACCAACACACGCTACCTTAGGGAACACATCACACATTTTTTTAATTTATCACAACGTTTCAGACAGATCAATTGAAACATACAGTCTGAACTAACACCAAAGGCTTCTGAATGCTATTAAAGGTTGTTCATACTGTTATTGAAGTGTAAATCAGAGACACTATTAAAATTATTTCTTTCTTAAAATTCTTCACTAAAATTAATTCTTTAAGTAAGTGTTGCCAAATACTTTATGGTCAAATAAAAAGTACATTAAAATCATTGTAACATACAGTACCACCCGGCTCTACCCCATAGTGCTCATGTGGGTACACAAACCTCTTTCCAGTCCTCTGTCTGCTATTCATATCAACATGCTAAAACTGATATTCCCAGAATTTATCAGGAAAGTAAATATCAGCACTAACATAACCTGATTATCAAATCAAGATTCAAATTAAAGGCAGCCCCTTTAAAACCGCAACACATTGATATGAACCGTACACAGCTGTCACAACGGTAGTGACAGCTCTCGTAATGAATATTTCTAAACATATCCCATTCCTGCAGCCTCTAATTACTACTGGGTTATGAGAGATGCTCGTTCATATATCGCTGTCATACATGCCTATAAGAACTTGACTAAGAGGTGGATGTGGAGAGTACCGCTGAATGTTTCCTTTTCCTTGACTGCAGGGTGTTATCAGGAGGAGGTAATATGTCCGGCGTCGAGTCTGCTGCTTGCTTTCTGTTTATATACGGCTGCTGTTTGTGAATCTGGGATTTAGTGCAAACAGAGGAAAGTGCCTAGATAGCCCATGTGTCTACACTCCTCCCTCAACATGTCCGTCATCACATTTACGGCATTCTAAATGTATGACTATATATGAAATTTTTTTTTTTTTTACAATTACACATAAAACACATATAAAAATTTAATTTATTCCTGTGATGGCAAAGCTGAATTTTCAGCATCATTACTCCAGTCTTCAGTGTCACATGATCCTTCAGAAATCATTCTAATATGCTGATTTGCTGTTCAAGAAACATGTCTTATCATTATCAATGTTGTTTTGTATCATCACATATCATATCACCTCATTTCATATCATGTATTTTTGTGTATATATTGTTATATTTTTTCAGGATTCTTTGATGAATAGAAAGTTTTAAAAATGCATTTTTAAACTGAAATCTTTTGGAACACTATAAATGTCTTTACTGTCACATTTGATCAGTTTAAAGTGCCTTTGTGGAAAACAAATTCTTTAAAAAAAATCAAACAGAACTGTTTTCATGCACATTTTGATGCATAAATATATGCTTATAAACACAATTTAAATTTTCTATACTTACATACAATTAGGTAAATAACTTAAGTTAACACTATTATAAATACAGTATACAGCCTATTAGTCAACTTTAACTCCAGTATATTAAGAATATTATTTAAATAGTCATGCTTTCCAGCATATTTCCGTCTATGCCCCAAGACACTGGGACAGACTCCAGCATCCCCACAACCCTACAGTACATAGGACAAGCAGTTTGGAAAATGAATGGATGGATAATCATGTTTTCCTGGCCGTATGTGATACGAGTGCTCCTCTGGATCCTATGGGCCTTCCCCTAGGGTCGCCTGCCAGATTCCCCTGTTTTTCTAAATCAGTGCTCTTCACACAGGCACTGTAGTGGACAGCTGTTCATGGCTCAGGAGAGGGCAGCCACGAGTTCTGAAGCCAAGACTGTGAACAATATTTTGTGTGACAGCGATATAAAGGTGAGTCAGAGCTGTCAACTGAGTCAACTCAGCAGGAAACATTGAGACCCATCTGCTGGAACTTCAAACACACACACAACTGTGAACAGATCCTCTCATACACACAATCACATACACACAGGCAGAAAATGCAAGATGGGCTCCTCTGGCCTAGGGAAAAAATAAAAACCCTAAGGGAAATCAGATTTTAAACTAGAAATTACAATAAAATAGAGTTAATAGTTCACACAGTTTTTAATTTGACTGTATTTTTGATTAAATAAATGCAGCCTTGGTGAGCATAAGAGACTTATTTCAAAAACATAAAAAATAAAAAATTGAACATACATAAGCAATGTTTGACACATGCCCTAGATGTCAAACTCACACCTGTGCATCACAACATACACACACAGCTGGGCAGAAAAGAAGGGCGAGGGAGAAAGAGGATGAAACAATGAAGAACGGGAATTTAATTCCCCACTATCCAGCGTAACTCAAGTTTATGGCCATTGCCTTGGTGTTTGATAAAAGCTTAAAGTGTCCTAGCCATCACTTCCCTCGGACTGCTCCACGAGAGATGGATTTGTCTGCCCTTAATTCAGCCATGGGCAGAATACACATGATGAACGAGAGAGCTGTGCAATCTCTCTCTCTTTCTTTCTAACAAGGACAAATAGTACCTGTACCCTTCCTGTCTCCAGCTTCCATCTATGGGAAAAGTGTGTGTGCATGCCATTGAGCATGCGTTTAAAGGAATACTTCACCTCCCAAAAAGAAATTCTGTGATTATTTACTTACCCTCATGTGGTTCCAAACCTGTATCACTGAGAATTTTGAAGAATATACAATCCATATCCAATTACAATGAATTGGGAAGCTTCAAAAAGGATGCAAATGCACCATAAAGGTATAATTATATTTAGGTTATCATCTTCAAAAATCTTAGACATTAGACCATTCATGAGAGTGAACGAATCATTCTTTTGAGTCATATCATTTCAATACATCGGTTAGATGAATTAATTTAATGCAGATGTTCACAGCTCCCCGGATCAACAAAGCTACTGTTTGACTTTACAAGTTTTAAAATAAAGTGTATGGACCACTTTTATGAGACATATATTGTGTTTTCTGTGCTTAAAGTTCACCCAAAAAATGAAAACATGCTCACATTTAAGCCATAAAAGATGTAGATGAGTTTGTATCTTCACTGGAACAGATTTGAGGAAATTATATTTTGAGGAGCATTACATTACTTACTCACCCATGGATCCTCTGCAGTGAATGGGTGCCGTCAGAATGAGAGTCCAAACTGCTCATAAAAACATCACAATAGTCCACAAACAATCCACATGAATCTAGTCCATCAATTAATGCCTTGTGAAATGATAATTTGTGTTTTTGTAAAAAACAATCTATCAATAAACCATGGTAATTTTTAAACATGCGGTTTTAAATTTTTGTCTGGTTTGTTAGCTGTGTATGTGGTAAAACTGTTGCTCTTCTGAAAAGCACTTTGGTCAGCCTGGTGGCTGGTGTATATGTGCTCTACAAATAAAATGAACTTGAACTTGAACTTCTGGCCAAAATAATCCATAATAATGTTTCCTACATTGGAAAACGTTTATCCCCTGTTGTCCTCTCACATCAAAATCTACAGACATATTTGTTTAGAACTGATGTGGACTGTTTTTGCTCGTAAGCAGGGCTTGGCCTGTGCAGATTTCTCTCCTGATTCAGACGAGACAACTTTTTCAGTGAAGAAAGCAATATTATGGATAGAGGACCTATATTTTAGCCAGAAGCAATAGGCCTAGTTTGAATTTGTTTATTACTAAAACAATTTTTCACTTCACAAGACGTTAATCTATGGACTGGAGTCATGTGGATTACTTGTGGATTATTGTGCTCTCATGACATTCTTAAAAAAACAATTTAAGTTCCATGAAAAAAAAAAAGAAAACCATAGAGGTTTTGGAATCACATTAGGTTGAGTAAATAATGACAGAATTTTCACTTTTTGGGTGAACTGTTTCTTTAAGTGCACATGGGTGTGTGTTCAATGTAGTGTGTGGCCATCTGATTGCTTGCTCTGTAGTAGCAATTCCTCTGTGTAAACATGCTATAAATACTCATTAGTAAAAACAAGAGGATGCCACAAATGCACACAAACACAAAGAGCAAGAGTGCAACACCTCACAGCAACAATAACAAGAGTGACTAATTTAATTAGCACTATAAAACAAGTCCAAAAAAGCCAGAGCCCGTCCTCTTCTCGTTCATCCTTAATGACAGAATTAATCAGCAGTGTCTTTACACATCTAATCTTAGAGGACACAATCTCAATTACTCTCTCTCTCCCCACTTGGGCACTTTTTGTAAATCAGTCCACACTTTTGTCATTGTGTAATGTCAGAAAGACCCAACAAACCACCAGCCTGCCTGTAAAACCTGGTGTCATATTAATTAACTCCTCTGATTAGATCAGTAATAAGTCTTAGGCTGCTACAGAGACGGCTAATGATCAGCGGCAATTACTCGATTCAAATGAGCTCCGCCTTAATGGAGTCAGATTGTCGCCCCTCTTCTGTTGTTCAGTCATTGTCAGCGAAGACGGACTGGCATTATACGCGGCTTCGAGAAATTAACATGACTGTAGGTTTACATAATCTCAGTACACAATCTAATCATAATTTAATTTTGTAAAGAAATTCATATAAACACTGAAACAAAGAAGCGTCTCAATGAAGTAAACTGTAATTAGATGCAAGTGGAGGTTGAAGTTTTAAGATTACTAACAGAAAATAAAAATTAAAGATGCTTTTGAACTGTTTTTCTCAACCATGTGCTAAAGCACTGTGGAAAATCTTTAGGAAACAAATCACCCAAATACAAGGCCCCCAGTGTTATGTTTTCCTGTTTGAAAAGAGAAAGTTGGACTCACAGGTCGGTGTTTCTTCTTCTTGCTGTGTGTATGGGCCAGGCGAGGGTTGTTCTCCTGGTCAGAGTGGTGGTGCTGGTAGTTGTTGTGGTTGAGTCGGTCCTTGTGCAGGTTCATGCTCAGCCTGTTCGGCACTCGGCCGGGCTTCTTCTTGCGCAGCGGTCCTGCCTGGTTCTGTCTCCGCTCGTGAGGCTTCAGGGTCATGTCCTTCTGTCAAAAACAAACAAACAAAAAAACAGATATGAGCGTATAACACTACTTTTGGATTAAACATTTTGACACATGCCATCAAACTGGAATTTTTTTCTTTTCATAATAAATCTTATGGTGTGAAATTCATTCGTACTGTACGTGTTACTCTATAGGAAAAAAATTAAATAATTATAATATTATGTCAAAATGTAAGAACTTTTAAGCCTCTAAAATGGCTTTTCTGACTACTGACTTAACTAAGGCTCAGTGGGTGAAGACAAAAAGTGTTATAAAAATGATTCAAGATTCAATTAAATTTCAATAAATAAAACCAAGCCTTTCCAGACAGTATTTCCCACTATACACCACCATTCAAAAGTTTGGGCTTAGTAAAATAAAAAATAAAATGAGAAAGAAGAAAAAAGAAAAAAGAAAAAAGCAATTAATATGTTTATTCAGCAAGGGTAAATTCAATTGATCAAAAGTGACAGTAAAAATAGTTATAATAATTTTACTAAAGATTTCAATTTCAAATAAACACTGTTCTTTTGAACTTTCTATTAATCAAAGAATCAAAAAAGAATGCATCATGGTTTCAACCAAAATATTAAGAAGCACAACTGTTTTCAACATTGATAATAATAAGCAATGTTTCTTGAGCAGCAAGTCAGCATATTAGAGTGATTTCTGAAGGATCATGTGACACTGGAAACTGGAGTAATGATGCTGAAAATTCAGGTTTGTCATCACAGGAATAAATTACATTTTAAAATGCACTGAAATAGAAAACTTTAAATTTTAAATTGTAATAATATTTCACAAAATTCAAATTTTACTGTATTTTTGATCAAAGAAATGCAGCCTTGATGAGCAAAAGAGATTCCTTTATAAACATATTACCGACCCCAAATTTTTTAAAGGGATAGTTCACCCAAAAATGAAAACTCTGTCTTTTTTATTTTCTTTGTGCACAAAAAGTGTTCTTGTAGCATAATAAATTTAAGGTTGAACCACTGATGTCACATGGACTATTTTAACAATGTTCTTACTACTGTACCTTTCTAGGCCTTGAATGAGTCAGTTGCATTTCTGTCTATGCACAGACAAAAAGCTCTCAGATTTTATTAAAATATCTTAATTTGTATTCTGAAGATAAACAAATGTCTTACAGATTTGGAAAGACATGAGGGAGAGTAATTAATGACAGAATTTTCATTTTTGGTTAAACTATCCCTTTAACAATAGTGTGCATTCATTTTTACTCTAAAATACGTAAAATAAAGGGAATGAGGGTTATGTAAACGACATGCTATTTCCTGTCGTTAAGGACCATTAATAAACAGCATGAAGGCCATTCCTGCTATATACTGAATGTATTGTTTGTACTAAAACACATTACACAACTTAAGCAGTGCACACTTCAGTAGGCGTATACTTGTCTACCCACAGCAAACACTGTTCTGCCAAGCTGATAAATAGAATAATCTTTACCCCACAGAAAAACAAGCATTTTGATAAAAGGAGTCTGAAATACATCAGAGGAAGCAGAGGAGCAGCGCTCCAGAACTTTCTCATCCACTGAGGACTCTAGACAGGAAGATCAATATTCAATATGACAAAGCTCATCTCTGCAGGGGAGCTGTGTATCTTCACATATCTCTGCTTACAGAAGCAATCAATTACACTATTATACTCCAGCTACAGAGAGATAGATACTTCCCGTGCCAAAACAGTACACTAAAGGAAGGGAAAGTGAGACATTCGATACAGTTCAGAGTAGGAACGCCTACTAGAACCAACAGCACAGTGACTTAGCAACCCTTAGAGATTCAGAATATTTAATGCATGATGAAAATAAAAAAATATATTTAAAAAAAGAACACATTCAAATGCATCACTGTTTCCACAAAAATATTAAGCACAACTGTCTACAACTGTTTCTTGAGCACCAAATCAGCATATTAGAATGATTTCTGAAGGATCATGTGACACTGAAGACATCACAGGAATAAATTACGTTTAATATCAAAATATATAATAAAATATATCAAAATAGAAAACAGCTTTTTTAAATTGTAATATTTCACAATAATGTCTTTACTGTTTTTAATCAAATAACTACAGCCTTGGTAAGGATAAGAGACTTATTTCAAACACATTACTCATTTCAAACGTTTGAAAATTAATGTGTGTGTATTTTCCTATTAAAAATGGGGAATGCTGGGAAAATTTTTGAGTGGTGAAGCATATGAATCCTTGAATCTGAGTTTTGAATTGATTCACTGAAGCTGACAGTTTGAAATGATTCACAAAAACAAATGTGTTTTTGTTTTGCTACTGTAGTTTAAAACATCTCTGTTTTAACGCTTTTCATACGCAAATTACAACATAAGGCATCACAAAACTATTCTAATGACACACTCTGGAAAATAATGTGTTTTTTGAACCTTAAACCGCATAAACACATTTCATTACACCAAATACACAAAATAATGTTCTTTTTAGCAACATCATATGACCCCTTTAAGCAATCTCAATGGCAAAATAAAGTACATTACAACCTTTGTCCAAAAATACAAGACCAGTTACAAAAAAATGGGCAGCAAAGTGCTGTTTTTAATGTAAAAGTAATGATCATACGTTTCTCCACAGGGCCAAGGTTTTCATATCTAACTTCAAAGATGTAGAAGACTGTCCTTTTTATCTTGTTTTCAAGAGCTCAGACATTTTTCTAAAATGACAGCTCCTTTTACGCTCTTCATTTTAAGCTCTGTGCGTGTGTGTGAGTAAAATAATGTTGGTGTGCGATAAAAATGAGTAATGGCTTGTTTCTTCTCTGATTTTGACAGTAGTTTTAAAAGCCTTCAGTTTCATCAGAAAATATGTGTATAAAATTAAACATGAGCAAATGCTTATATACACATCTGTGTGTTTATATTGCATCAACTCAAGCCTCCAGGTGATTAAATTCACCATTTCTCAAACGTCAAGCAAAGTGTTTTGCTGTATCTGATGCAAACCTTCTAATGTGCAAGTGTGTGTGTGTTTGAGAGGAGATATACCATCAGCCCTCATCCGCCTGCGGGACTGATCCATCATGTTAAACTTATGTACCAAATCAGATTATATGCTTCAGAGACATTACATGTTTAATAGCCTTGTTCATGTACTCAGAAACATCAAAAGAACTCTCGGCTGTGCAGACGGAGCATGTCAGGACTGCAAGATACGACAGGCTGATAACCAGCCATCAACTCTTCAGCTCTGATAGAGCACTCTGAGTATTTGTGCTGAGGGACAACCTCTATTCATGCCGTATCTCTCTATTCAGCGATCAGAATCATTCAGACTCAAAAAATCAGGCCGTAGTTGATTCATTTCAGCTGCTTGAGAGGAGAGGTTCCTCTTAAATGACATTCAGACGAGGACGAGGATGTGTTCAGACATACTACTTACTATATTTGAGAGTAAGCAATATGTAGGCATGGAATACTCAAATGAACAGACAAAACTGTGTATCCCACAATGCATTTAACCACTTTTAATGTGCTAAATGACTCTGTGTAATCAAACTGCCAAAGGCTAGGATATCACTCATAATTGCAGTAAAAATACAACAAAATAAAAAATTACTTCAATGAGATATTATATATAAATAGTATGCAGTTGACAATATATTCTGAACAATAATATCTATTAAAAGGAATACCTCATCCGAGAATTAAAAATTGCTCAAAATGTACTTACCTTTAGGCCATCCAAGAGAGGAGTAGATGAGTTTCTTTCTACATTGGAACAGATATGAAGAAATGTCACATTATATCACTTACTAGATGGATCCTCTGCAGTGAATGGGTGCCGTCAGAATGAGTCCAAACAGCTGATAAAAGTATCACAATAATTCACAAGTAACCCACACGTCTCCAGTCTATCAATTAAGGTCTTGTGAAGTAAAAAGCTGGGCGCTTGATGTTTTTATCAGCTGTTTGGACTCTCATTCTGACGGCACCCATTCACTGCAGAGGATCCATTTGTGAACAAGTGATGTCATGCTAAATTTCTCCAAATCTCTTCCCAGAAAAAATAAACTAATCTACATTTTGGATGGCCTGAAATTGTGTAAATTATCAGCAAATTTTCATTTTTGGGTGAACTAAGTATCTAATCTAATTATTTAGATTATCCTTTAACTTCAAAATGCATCCAAGTTTGATCAAAAAGGCCATAAGAGCATACACAATAGGCATTGATGTATGAAGGGAGACTTTAGAGGCTGGAGGAATATGGGGCGGTCTGGAAACTGGCTGAAATGACAGAAAAGCACATGAGATTATAAAGGATATGGAAAGTGAGTTTGTCAAGTATACTGAGCTTGAACTTGAATGGCTTTTCCACAGCAATCACGTCCATGATCACTAGCACTCGAGTATGTGCTGAACCACAGCCAAGGTGGGTCTGGGACCCATAATTCAATGGATGGGCCTAATTCAATGAGCTTTTCTTCTGCAGGAACTACAATGATCTTTCGACAACATGGCAAACTTCATTAATCCATCTGTAAGCACATCTGGCCCTAATGTGCATCTTTCAGTGTGAATTAAGTATAACAACATGTGATGCTGGCAGAGGAAACATTAGAAGTTCACTCTGGGAAAACATCTGACGATAAATTGGGTTTGCTCATCTATACTTGTCTAGTCTATCCTTGGAAAAAACAACAAAACCTACTTTTTTGGTAAAGAGCTCTGTTCTCTCTATTCTAGAAGTAAGAAAACAGTTGTTTTTTCTTTCTGCGCATTTTTGTTCAAAACTCTCATATCTGTCTTCCTTTGCCTGTAGCATTCTTATCGTATAGCACATACTGATAGGACAAAATGTTTATCATTCTAACATTCAGAATGAGTGCCAAAAATGTCAAATAAAGAAAAAAAACCTGCTTTCAAATTCCGCTATGTTAAGACAAAGAGTGGCTTCCATTTCTGAGAAAACTTGTTTTCATTTTTTGTTTTATTTGTATA